TGACTCGCTGATGCAGCAGTATGATAAAACCTTGACACCATAGACAAACGGAAATGAAGAAACACAAAAGACAAAAGATCCTACAGAGACACCATATTTATTAAAGAATAAACAAGGTTCTTAAAGCAATACAATACAATGTCAGAAATGTTTAATTTACTTGAATACCATGTAAGATTCTTTTTCTCACTTTAATTATTTGTAAAAAGAAAAACTGTGTGACTCTGCATGTTGACATATGAGAAGACTATTTATTGTTGGAAAGCTCTCCACTATGGGGATCAGCTCAGATAAAAATGTATACAGTTATAGTATCACAAGATGGTGGAAAGAAAATACAGATAAAGACCTTGTATAATAGTAACACTAAGGACTTAAATTTCTATACATCCAGAGATAAAAAACTCATTTTGAATTTTTGTTATCAGTTTAAACAAACAAATCATTAAACATACCTAGTAGTATAAAAAAATTGCATACACTATATTTGTATCTCAAATCTTTACTTACTCCTTTTTGTATTGAAGTAGTACTTACTAACAGTAAAATGTGAAAACAATATTTATGGACATACCTCTCTAAAATCTTTGTACATATCAAAAGGTAAAATGTTCACGCTTTGAAAACGGCCCTTTATTCGAATAGAAGGTGGATCTTTGATGCCAGAATTTTTTTCTAGTCTGACTTTATATCTAATAACAGAAAATAAAACTACTATAAATATAGAGATAAATATAATCAATTATACCTGTCACAACAACTGATACTGAGACAGTTATATTCCAATAACTTGGGTAAAACTTCATATTCCCCCTTGATTTACTAATTTTATATTCAACTTGGTTTGAGTAATTTGATCACTAGATACATAGAACATTGCAACAATGGGAGCAATTTTACACCTGTAGTTCATGATAGGTTCCTGCCACCTTATTGATTTATTGGCTTTCACTGTCCAGTAAATTAATTATCTTCTACAAATAGATGACTCATTGTACACATGTACAGAAGAAAGAAATAATATTTATATATTTTGATTAGACAGACTACATGGTGGAAGGGTTACTTGAGGTCTTGGCTTTCAGAATTAGGGGAGATCAGACATGTTACTTATCTCACATCTATTGATGATTATTTGATGTTTTGAAGCATACATATCACATCTTTGATTGCATTCTCAATTGATATTTCTAACAAAAGTCCTGCCATAGTTTTCATTTATAAAATTGTTTTTTATTATATTTAAATTTCAGTGTTTCATGGCTAACCTTAATAAACTCACTATAACTATTTAAAGCTGTTTAATTATACCAACAGCATTTCAGTGCAATGGAAGGATTAGAAGGTGATTCTGTTATCCAGAAGGTGATTTTAAAGTAAATTTAAACTTAATTAATGGTCTTCAATTAATTTATCAATAGGTATTTTAAGAAAACAGTTACAAGCATATGTTTTTGAGAGCAACATCCAGTATTGCAATAAAAAGTCTACATTTTTTTACATTTAAAACTACTTTTTTTTAAGTTGATTAAAATGTTATTTTAAAAACTTTTCATAAATTTCTCCGTTATCCTTCTTAACACTAAACAAGATATTATTGTTTGTTGCACAACACGTGTCAACATCAAACTATATTATATACACATGTACCTTTCACACAATAAAATGTTAGTATACACACAGTTTTCGTTACTACCTGCTTTCTGTCAGATGTTTTCCACTAATCACTTTTATAGGAATCTCCAGAGATCCTAATAAAGCATTAAATAAAGTATGTTAATTATTATTATTATGTTAAAACAGAAAAGTACAGCAATAAGTTTTATCTGTCAATTTTATATTTCTTGTAAAAAAAGTAACTTCTGCTAAAGAATTATTCTTAAAGCTGCATAGTAAAATCTACCAATAATGTTGTCTACATGATGATTTAAATGTACATTCACTCTGTTTAATGTGATACATGAACTGATTATCATTTTAAAAGTTTCTTTATAACCCTTGAGAGCATCATAACCTTGCATCACAAAGTTTCATATTTTGACTTTTTGGCAAAATAAATAATGAATAAACAGTTCTGAACTTTTACACTGGGTATATGAAAGAGACAGTTTATTTCTATATAAAAGGAAGTTCAAAAAAAGGTCGCACTCTGTACATATAAAGTGATATTTTAGTTGATTTACGAACTCCTCCTGATTCTTTAGAAATTTTTATCAGTCAACTTCTAACCTTAAATAAACTTACAAATAATATTGTTATATACTACAAAACACACACACACGGGTATCATTGTGTTTTATATGGCATAATATTAAAGTCTTGGAAATTTTCCTGCATAAACACTTGATCAAGGTTTTATACACATTTTCCACTCAGCTTTTGCATTATGCTAAGGCTCATATTTAGTATGATATATGTGAAATATAAGTTCTTTTATGACACATCTACATTGTTAAGTATAACAGTGTTAACTTTAAGATATTTCTTTAAGGTAGGTCACATCAACACACTCTTTACCATCACATTCTCTGTTAGCTTATGTATATCAACAAACTGTTTTTTACTGAAACATCACTGATGCTCACTCATATGTATGTATGAATGACTAAACAACCATCATCCCACATATTTTTTAAACACCTACACTTCATCTATTCCACTTATTATACAAATATTTTTAATGCCTCAGTTAACTTCTATCTCTCTACAACCACCTACACATCATATTTTATATCCAACTATCACCGTATTTTATTTATTTTTTTCTCCATAAACATTTTTATGTCAACTCATATTCGCTTTTCTCTCACTCAAATTCTCATGATCTCAGCTTATTTCTCAAATATACACCTTATTTCACTCCTCAATCATCAAATATTTGTTTATTTCTTACTCTAAGCATCTACATATCAATTCACACCAGTCCTCAATCACTCTTGCAGCCAAGTACATAAGTGTCACTTTCACATTCTACATCTACATATTTCACTTCACTCATCATACAAACACCTCTGTAACCTCTCAATTTCTTTCTCACTCTCATTCTTAGCCAAAGCTTCAAGAGTGTACTAAACATTATTAGCATCCATTACTATTTGTGATTTTTAGTGAACTCCATTACAAAAGTTAATCAGAAAAGCTAAACTTAAAAAACAACTACATTTCAATTTTTTTTTACTCTTCAAAAACCAACCTACCTATCAATTTATTTCTTCTCCTCTTTGTTTCTGATTCTCTATATAAGTTTATAATTACAGTTTCAATCTTCTCAAGATGACTGAAATAAGATTTGTTATTATTAAGAAATATTCATGAATTACAAAGGTATATCAAATGACTGTCTATAAACATATCTTGCTCAAACTATCTTTTAGTACTCCAGCTGTGTTAATCAGAAAAAAAGGTTTTAAAAATATAAAAACCAATTTAAATCAAAATACCAACGTCACTGAGTACTTTCTAAAACATATTTTCTGTATGTATTGTGTGTGTCTTACTGTATTTTTATGGAGTCAATGAGTCACTTGAATATTTTATACATAGTAAGTGATGCTCAATAGAAAATCAAATATGGGACTCATAGGAATTTGAAACATTAATTTAGCTCTAAAGGAATATTGCACTTAGAATCATACTAAGATGTAACAAGTATATAGGTAAAATAGTTTACAATTTGAAAGCTTTCAACCAGCATACAGTACAGAGAATTAATGATAACAAAGCATGATTTGTATGTTTATACACTCAGCACTGTATTAATGCATTATGAGTTAAAGGCTTGTAAGGTTCTTGTCTGTGTATAGTTTCTTATGTTAAAAATATGTTATTTGAAAATAAAAAAATTATAAGTCAAGTCATAATTTCACTTGTGTTTCTCACTTTTAACCAAAAAAAGAGAAATACTTCAAAAAACAAAAGTTGTTCAAACAGACACATAAATGAAACACAAGCCACACCATCTATTACTATTAACCTAGTTTTCCTAAATTGTTGTAAAAGTTGTAACAATAACAAGCTTCATAGAAGATTATACTTACTTGAATTCAAAGTGCTCTCCCCAAAAACACATATCAGCCATTATCTGCTTAGATGATGTTCTATTATATAGTTCTCTGCCTAAACACAGCTCACAATAGTACCTATACCAACATAAAGTTTAAACTATTTGTAAACATTGACTTTTTTTTTTCAGTCAGCAAACATCATCTGTACACCTTTTAAATCACTAAATGAGATTGTTATATCTCCTAATTTTCAACCTATTTATTAAAATTATGTTTGTAGAGATACTTCAGCCAAAATGATTAAAATGATTAAAGCATGCACCAATCTATTAAATAAAATCACTCAATATCTATAATTTTGTTAATAAAGATAATTCTGTTTGTTTGTTTACTGTTAAGCACAAAGTTACACAATGGTCTATCTGTGCTTTGCCCACAGTGGGTATCAAAACCCAATTTTTAGTGTTAAAGTCCATAGACTTACCACTGAGCCACTGAAGGGCTAGTAAAGATAAATAAAATGTTTTAAGGTGAGAAATACTACTTTGTAACAAGTTAGCCATCAATTCTTTATCATAAAAAATCTGTTTAAAACCAGAACTCATTGTTTATAGTACAATATTGTACTTTTGTTTAAATTGCAAGCACTTATGTATAGGAAAACAAAAGACATTAAATATTTTGCTAAACAAATAATTTAAAATCAACAGTTCTAAATCTTACTTTTTTTTGGAGGGAGCCCTTTAGCTTCCAAAATCCATATGATGAGAGAGTTGTCCACTCTTTGTTTGTTTGGATTTTGTTTCAGAATAGATTCTCTCAGCCTTTTGAAAAGAATAAGGAATCAAAATGGCAGTAATGTCATAGTTCAACCATTATAGCACACTAAAGGTTTTTTTATCATTGAATTACTGCAACTGTTGTAAGGTCTGTAATCTGTGTATTATGAGAAGTTATTATTTCTTCTTTCAGATGCAGATATTTATTGGTATATAATCATCATGTACTTTCTTATATGATTACTCACTTATTACATTCCAAACACACAACATCTATTAATAATAGTCTACAAGTTTCATACTTACACTTAGTGCAGTCATCTTGTCTAAGCTTAAACTATAGTGTATGATATAACTCAATAGTCATGGGAGTTGCACAAGGTGTTTATTGTTGATTGGTTTGTGATATAGTGATTTATGTGTATCACAACATGTGAAAGGTTTTCTGACCATTTTACTACTACAAATGTTGTAAAGTCTATAAGATGTTTATATCCACACATACTGTAAGTTTTCTAATCATTGTATTGCTACAACTTCTGTGACCTATCTATATCATAACACACTGGATATTTTCCTATTATTGCACTACTGCAATTGTTGTTAGGTGCGTGATCTGTGTATATCACATTATGCTGGAGGTTTTCTAATCACTGTATTACTAAAACTATTGTATGGTCTGCAATCAATATATATCACAACATAATTTAGCTTATCTGACATTCTTTCTGCTAAACTCAAGATGTACATTTTCGGATATCTGTATTGTTAACGCTAAAAACCTATGGTTTCTGATCTGGCATGGTCAGGTGGATAAGGCACTCGACTCGCAATCTGAGGGTCGCAGGTTCGAATCCCCGTCCCACCGAACATGCTCACCCTTTCAGCCGTGGGGGCATTATAATGTGACGGTCAATCCCACTATTCGTTGGTAAAAGAGTAGCCCAAGAGTTGGCGGTGGATGGTGGTGCCTTCCCTCTAGTTTTACACTGCTAAATTAAGGACGGCTAGCAAAGATACAACTAAATAACTTATATGTTGTTTGCGACAGGATAACTAACTGTATACAAGGTTCTGTGCTGCAATCAACTTTATACTATTTTAACCACACATCACAATGGTATATAATACATGGAATTAATTGCGCTTTATAAGAATAATTTGTACTGTTACATCTCCGTTCGTTAGTTAATTTTCCGTAAATTTCGTTCCGACGAAACTTTAGCGACG